CGCGATACAGTCGCTAAACAGTAACCGCTCAAAGAACCTGCGGCCCCCCTTTCCAACAACACAAGCATGAAATAACGAATCCCCTGAGGGTGCAACCGCCGGACGATACCGTTGAGCACCCCCAATGACGTACGAAGTAACCAGCGTGGAGCCCAGATGGGAAGTAGGTTCACCGCGGGTGTGCAAGGTATGTGGTGCAAGCTATGTGTAGGCTACGTGGTGCATCTACTTGGTGGCAACTCATGAACTGTCGACCCCACTGCTCCAGCACAATTGCGCATTATCCCGCCCTTCCATCCGCAATTTGTGTGGCTATACCAATGAAGCCACGATTGCGGTTGCCGATTTGCACTTGCTGGTGACTCTGTGCGGCGCTGCTGTCGCACGAACGCTCGCGCGCATGGTAATCAGCTGGTTTGGCACAACTGGTGCGGCCGCGATGGCGCTTACCAGAGGAACTTCCTGGCGCGTCTCAAGGCCACGCTGGCGCGCGGGCGCTTCAGTGCGGGTCGGTGATTCGGGCGGGCGCGGCATCATGATGACGCCGACAGCAGCGGCAACGATGATGGAGTATCGATAGTGCTTGCGATGATGACGGTAACGGCGCCGATGTTGGCGACGACGATGACGATGATGCCCATGGGTCGGTGATGACGATGGTTGTGCTGATGATGACTGCAATGTCGGCGATTGACGATGTGACGGCGAAGAAACGATGGCGCAAACGAGGGTGATGGTGAGGGAGTGCGCGCGCAGGTGGTGAAAAAAATCGCAAGCGCACTTTTGGGAGAATGGGTTGTTTCCTATGTCGTTTGGGAGCTCTATCCTGAAGCGCTCCGCAAGCCGATGGTGTAGGGCAGACTTCGACACGCGCGCGTGGCAGCGCGCGCGTGCAGCCCGCGTGGTGTGATTTGAAACGGTGTCGCGCTCTGGGCGCATGCTAGATCAACGCAACTGCACCGCGTGGTGGACGAGACCTTTACAATCGTATGGCTCCTCAAGACTTCAGCAAGTGCGAGCGGGCAGAGAATCTGCAAGACTTGCCATGACAAGCCCATGGGTGTTTGTAACGACGGAAGCTTGCGCAAGTGAGGTGCCTGGTATGAGTTCGACACGCGCGCGCGTTGACTTTGAGACTTCTCGCGCGAGGCCCTCTGCCAAGCGCAAGTGATCTTTCGAGACAAACTAGTGTGCGCACACGTGGCGTTACCTCACAGGGGTGAAGGGGGGAGGGGGGGGGGGCGATGCCGGCCTGGCCGCCGCCTGGCTAAGATGGCACGACTTCGAGTGGCCAGAGAAGCGATGGGGCAGAAACGCATGTTGTCTTGGAGGTCGGAAAGGGGTGCGGCATAAAGGGAGATGGTGCCAATCGTGGAAATGGCGATGCTATCTGCGATAGATGATTCCCCTTTTTAAATGAAATTAACATCACACCCCTTTATACCATAGTCCTTTCCTGCCTCCTGAGATACTTGCAATACCCCAGGGGGCATCGATAAACCTGGGGCCGGGAGGGAGCAGAGTCTCTTCTGCCGCCGGAAAAGGAGGAGAAGGAGGAGGAGGAGGAGGAGGAGGAGGGGGAGGAGGAGGAGGAGGAGGAGGAGGAGGAGGAGGAGGAGGCGAAGTGGAGCGCCCCTGGCACAAAGTGGAGCGCCCCAGGCTTCCCGGACGCCCCCCTCGCTCAGGAGTGTCCAAAACCAGCCAAGAGAGGCGCGGGAGGCCGCTCGGGCGGTCCACGAGGGCCCAGACTCGGGGAATGATCGCTCTTGTTAGGAGGCAACTACTGGGAGGTCTTCGTCGGAAAGGTTAAGGAGAATTAAGCCCCACTGGGGGGCTACTACGCAGGATTAAGCCGTGGATGGTTCGGGATTAAGCCGGATTAAGCAGGATTAAGCCGGATTAAGCGGGATTAAGCCGGATGAAGCCAGATTGACCTCCCAGGAGATGCATACGAACTCTTGTACAACTAGGAGGGCCTCCGAACGGCCCAAGAGGCCTCCAAGACGCCCAAGAAGCCTCCACGAGCAAGTCAAAAGCGGCGCGAGAACGTCACACGACAGCACAGATACAGCGTCACACGACAACACAGCAGCCCACGTCACACGACAACGTCACACGCGGCAACGTGACAACGTCACACGTCCGAAACGATGTAAGCCGTGATGGGATGAAACGCGACGCGAGCGGAGAGGGCGCGTTGCCCTTCCTCGCAGACGAGCCGCGCGGCTGCTCGGCGTCGAATTGGCCGTGCGCGCCCCGAGCCGAGACGCCAGGGGGCCGCGGGCCGCGGCCCCGCGGGCGCCCCCCCTCCAGAGTCGGGGAGGGCGGGGAGACGGCGCAGGGCCCTGCGGTCCCGTCGCGGCCCGGGGCGCGAGCGACGACTCGCGGCGCGCCGGGCCGCGCGGCCTGACGTACATTGCCCCCCGCAGCGGCGGGCAGGAGGAGGGGGGGCGCCCGGGCTGCCCGCCGTGGAAGAGCGGGCGGGTCGCGGGCGGGTCGCGGGCGGGTCGCGGGTGGGTCGAGGGATGGGTCGCGGGATGGGGCGCCGCGGGTGGGTCTGAGCCCAAGCAGACGCCTTCCCCAGACATCGGGCTCGCGCTGGAAGCCAGCGGGCCCGAATGCTGGGCGTCAGGAGCTTCCTCAGCTGACGACCTCCGGTCTCGTTGCTGAAAGCCCACCCCCAAAAAAGGCGCCAATCAACGCTCGGCGCCGAGCGACACTTCTCTCGGTGGGCGCCCACACATCTAGGCGCGCGCAAGGCTGGGGCGACGTGGGGGCAGAAGATCGCCCAACAAAACATCACACAGCAAATACCTCATGCAGCACTTAGCTGTTTGGGTCTTTCGACATCTGTTCTGGAAGGTCTCTGGACGAGGCCAAGGATTCGACGTCGTGGTTCAGATGTTGGCACCCAGACATCACTTCCAAAATGAGGCCCCTGACGATGCTACCCCTGGAAAGGCCATCAGCAGTCACACCACTGAACGTTATGAGCGATTCCCTATGTCCATGAGATCACGCATCCAGGTTCCACGACCGAGTCGCCCGTGCTGCGCATCCGAGGAAAAAAACATTCTCTACGGATCGCCGAAGGAGTTTCCTCGCTACTGCGCTCAGGCGACGTATCGGGATGAGGGTGGGCTCCTGCATCCTCCTCCTCCTCCTCCTCCTTTGAAGAGGGGTGGTGCCATGAGACACCCACTGTTGTGTGCCTCCATCAGGGTCGTCTCCAGGCTTGAGCGTCACCCCGCCGACAGGGCCCCCTCTCAGTTGGATGTCGCTTTCATTAGCCACTCAGATCCAAATTTTTGATTGTCGCGTAACAAGGAGAACTTTGGGTCCGAGAGCTCTTTGCTTTGCGTTGCTCCTCCTCCTCCTCCTCCTCCTTCTCCTCCTCCTCTTCCTCCTCCTCCTCCTCCAGCCCTCCTCCTCCTCCTCCTCCTCCTCGCTCCTCCTCCTCCTCCTCCTCCTCCTCCTCCTCCTCCTCCTCCTCCTCCTCCTCCTCCTCCTCCTCCTCCTCTTCCTCCTTGCATAATCCATCGACCAGATCTGGACGAGGAGAGCATCGGCCAGAGGGCCCCGTGGAGGCCGATAAGCATCTCGGAGACCACTCTCGTTACCCTACCTTGGCCTCGGCGGGCACGCGGGTGAGCTCAGGGTAGTGTGGTATGGGCCGCCACTGGTTTGCTTGGTCGTCTTGGCCCATGGCCGCATCGCCCTGTCCGGCGCAATTCTTAAAGACATGTTTGCTGAGTTCGGGTTCACCAGACACCTATTCGCCCAGATGGCTCCAAGAGCGTCCCCAAGCCTCCCAGGCGCGCCCCAGGAGGGCCCAAAGAGAGGCCAATGAGGCCCCAAGAGGCGCCCAAAAGGCCTCCAGGAGGCTCCCCAGAGACCCCCAAGAGGCCCCAAGAGGCTCCACAAGAGGCCCCCGGGACCGCCAAGAGGTCTCCAAGACGCTCCAAAAAGCCCGCAAACTCGCAATTGTCCTACTCTTCCTCATCCTCTTCCTCCTCCTCCTCCTCTTCATCCGCCTATTTCTCCCCCTCCCTCCTCCCTTCTCCTCCTCCCCCACCTCCTCCTCGTTCTCCTCCTCCTCCTCCTCCTCCTCCTCCTCCTCCTCCTCCTCCTCCTCCTCCTCCTCCTCCTCCTCCTCCTCCTCCTCCCCCTCGTCATTCTTCCCCGCCTTTCCTCATTCGGCAGGTCCGCAAGGCGCGTACGCTTCGCTTCTGGGTCAGCGCAGGCTGATCCAAGACTTCGGTTTGACGGCATCCCCAGCCCTAGATCCACTGCATGCTCCTCCGCTATCCTGATCAAGGCAACTCGCCTAGGCATCGTTTGTGGATGGGCTGGTGGTACGCGAAGCGTCAAGAAATTTTCGATCCAGATTCACTGCTGATGGTCCTGGGGCCCGCTGGCAGGCTCTGGAGGCCGTCGGGTATCTACTGGCCTGGGTCAATGCAAACCAGGGTCAGTCAGACTGCGCAGGATCCTGCAAGATCCTGCAGGATCCTGAGCGCTAGCCCGGGTCAATGCAGCCCTGGCGTTGCCGGATCCTGTGCAAGAACCGGCGCTCTGCCTGACCCCCGTTTGCATTGACCCCCGTCTCAAGGCTCCCGACTCCGACAGTAAAGAAAGACGCTGGGCGTGAAAAAGTCAGATCGTCGGAGATCCGGGGATTCACTGACGTTGCGCACGAGGGGTTAGGGGGAGGGGGGAAGGCTTCTTGGGAGGCTGCTCCTTGGACTTGGAAGGCACCTGCCCTACATCTATATATATATATATATATATATATATATGACGCCCGCGCCTTCAAAGAAGCAGCCTCCGTCTTGGAAGCCTTCCCCATACATCGCCGATGGATCATCGGTAGGCCCCTGGTTGCGAATCCGCACGTTCCTGGGCGGGGAGGGCCGTCAGGCCCCCATCGGCGATGAGTGCGCGAGTGGGGGGCGGCGATGATGCGCCCCCTGACATGGCCCCTGACGGCCCCGCCCCTCCGGAAGTCTTTGGTGGCGACCTTCAGCCGGAGCTCTGAGGCGCCCCGCCCGGCGGCCGACCTGCTGTCCTTGGCCTCCTCGACGAGCCCTGCGAAGAGGAAGATCATTCTCCTCCTCCTCCTCCTCCTCCTCCTCCTCCTCCTCCTCCTCCTCCTCCTCCTCCTGCTCCCCCTCCTCCTCACCCTCCTCCTGCTGCCCCTCCTCCCTCCGCCTCCTCGTCCTGTTTCTCCTCCTCCTCCTCCTCATCATCCTCCTCCTCCTCCCCTCCTCCTCCTCTTCACCCTCCTCCTCCCCCTCCTCCACCTCCTCTCCTCATCCTTCTCCTCCGAGTCGCCATCGACGTCGTCGTCGCTCGAGGATCGAAGTTCGATGAGCGACGCTGGAGGGTCGATGCTCGAAGATAGTCCTGGAGGGAGCAGCGAGGACGAGAGAGAGCGCGGGCACCGGGCGGGCAGCCCAGCGAGAGGGTGCAGGATCGAGGATCGAGGCTCTCTTGGAGGTACTCCACGAGCGAGGCTCGGGAATCAAGGCTCGAGTACTGTCGTCGCCGTCACCGTCACCATCGCCGTCGTTCGAGGATCGAGGATCGAGGCCTTCCTATTTCTGGAGGATCATTTCCTGCGAAGCAGAGAGCGCAACAGCCCGACGGAACGGGCCGGCCTCGACAGTGAAACGCGCAGAAAGCGGATCAGGGTGTGCGCCTCGATCGAGGTTGCTGAAGGTTCTGCCAGATGAGTGAGGATCGAGTGCTCCAGGATCGGTGATCGGGGAGCCCGGACCCAGGTCCGAGGCTCGAGGATCAGTGGCCGAGGCTTCCGGAGGCGTTCGACGAGCAAGAGGAGAGGCTCGAGGCGCCTGGAGGCTCTCCAAGACCAGAGCTCGAGGCCCCAACGCTCGAGGCTCGAGGCGTTTTGAAGGGTGCTCGAGGATCGAGGCTGAAGGCTCGAGGCTCGAGGCTCGAGGCTCGAGGGTCGAGGCTCGGGAATCGGGGCTTGATGTCCGAGGATGGTGGTCGTCGCTCGCCGTCGCTGGTCGTCCGCCGTCGTGAAAGGAGGGGGGGGGGGTCCTGGACGTCGGGGGCGCGCCTCGTGCCCCGGCCAGGCGGGGCCCCGGAAGGAGCGCGGGGGCCGGGTCCGAACTGCTTTTTGGGGCGGGACCGTCACCTCAGGGCGACGAAAACCATACACCCTGCGAGATGCTTAAGAAATCATGGGTTAAGAAATTCATAGTCTCAGAACTTGAATAAAAACCCAAATGTTCCATTAAAATCTTAGGAGTTACATTGAAACATTAAGAATAATCGAGACCCTGGCCGAAATTGTAAGTTTTCTTAAGCATCGCCTAAGGTGTACAGATCCACTCCTCCCTGGCCAGGCCCATCCTGAACGCAGCAGCGGAGTACACGCCACGCCCTCCCGGGTTGGCCAGGAAGCCGCATACTCGGCTCCTGGATTCAGGAGGGGCTTGGGCAGGGAGTGGTGGATGTGTATAGATTTCGTCGGCCTAAAGGCCTCCCGAATGGGGTCCGAGTAGATGGGGTCTGAGGATTGCGCCGCATCGCCGATACATCGCCGATGTATCGGCGGTGCATCGTCGACGTCGGCGATGCATCGGCGACGTCGACGTGAAGCAAATCGGGCTCCACATCGCGCCGCATCGGCGATGCATCGACGATGCGGCGCGATCCTCCGATCCCATCTACTCCGACCCCATCTAGGAGGCCTAGGGACATCGTCGCTCGTCGTCCGTCGTCGTCGTTCGAAGGTCGAGGCTGAAGGATCGAGCGGGGTTCTTGGCGGCCATTCTGGGGCTGCGGGGGTGGTCTCTGGTGGCCACGGCTGGACCCGCCTCGAAATCCGGAGGAGGTCTGAGGAGTCGATCGCCGTCGTCGCCGCCGCCGTCACGATGAGCGGGAAACGAGAAAAGGGGAGAGGGAGACAATGTCATGTTTTGCTGTTTGGTTGAGCATCTAGGGAGGCCCTCAACGCCAGGGCTGGATGCGCCACGAGATCCTGTTCAAATCGTGGTGAAGAGGACGCGGTGAACGTGGAAGAAAAAATGCCAACTCTTGGCATGCCGGTGGGGAACGCGGGAGGGAGGAGAGACGAGGAGGAGGACGAGGAGGAGGAGGATTTGACATTGTAGCATCTGCGGCCACATGCCCCCTTTGAAGGGGGCTCCTCTGCCGCTGCCACTGTCAGTCTCGGGGGCCAAAACTGGACCGACCAGCCCTGGGCCCCCGGACCGTGTCGAAGGCCACGTGGAGCTTCGCCAGTACCACGAGGTGGATGAGCAGCCGCTGGTGAACGCCACCCACGTGAAGACCAAGCTGGAGACAAAGAGAGATCTAAGAGTGTCCAGGTCGAATGCACAGACGCGCACCACATATAGCAAACTCACACGCAGCCAGGAAGCACGAGAGACCGCGAACTCCCCCAGCTGCAAACAAAAAGAAAGAGACCGACGCCAGCACGCGCCAGCAAGAGTACGCACGCCACCGTGGCAGGTAGCCAGAGCATGCTCAGTCTCAACGGAGGCACGAGCACGCGACGAGGGACACGTGGACCTCCTCTTGGGCAGGGACCGACCGTCCTGGCATTCCTAGTCCTACCACAAAATGTTCTTAGAACCCGAAAATGTTCTAAGAACAAAAACGATGTTCTTAGAACACTAACCCGATATGTTCAACCAAGACAGCCTCAATCAGAAATGTTCTAAGAACATGCCGTGCAGACCACACAAGGCTCTCAGAGCAATCCTCGGTGGGGCGATGGGCGAGCCAGGACGCCTCGCCGCTGCTTGAGCCTCCCAGCCGGAGCACCAGATTGCCACTCGCCGTCGCTGCCCGCCTCCGCTGCGAGGGGGGCGCGCGGAGAGCCGGCGTGCCCGGCTGCAGAGGGCACGGACGCGCCGCCGCGGCGGGCCCGCGCGCGCTGGGAGGCCGCGGCGCGTGGCGGACGCTGCCCTTCACCGGGCCAGCGCCCCGGGCTCCGGCGGCGGCCCCCGTGCCGCAGAGGGCACGCCCGCGTGAGAGCTCGCCGCCCCCTGCTGCGCCGGAGGCTCGGGGCGGCCGAGCACCGCCGCGTCGGGCCGCTCCTCGGAGGCCGTCCCCGCCCGCAGGACCCTCTCCGTCGCGGGGGGGGGGGCTCCACGGCGGGATGCGGCCAAGGTAGCTTCTCTTCCTCCTCCTCCTCCTCCTCCTCCTCCTCCTCCTCCTCCTCCTCCTCCTCCTCCTCCTCCTCCTCCTCCTCGGGATCCTCGAGTCCATCGAGATCGTCCTGCATCTCAATCTTCGCCATCTGCCGTGGCTCGGGGGCGTGGGAATCAGCGACGGCAGCCGGCGGCACCAGCGCACAAGGCTGCAAGAGAAGCGACTCCAACACGTCCAAGCCCCTCGGAACTAGAAAAGGAGCCTCGGGGTTCAACGCGAAGCTCTCCTGTCTACGCTCTAAACGCGGCCCCTTCTGTAGGCACTTTAGAGTCTCCACCCCTGCACCAGCTACGCTCACACCACGGGCGTCAGCATGCACCGCCACATTGCGCCTGAGGACGCCAACGTGGCTCGGGAGACGCCCGCGCAGCTGGTCCTGGAGTGCGGGAACCAGGGCCAGCAAGCGATCCGCCAGCTCCGCGTCGCCGCCGCCCAACGCACCCACGAAGTCCAGCAACTGCCCTGAGCCTCCCAAGCTCGCCTGACAACTTGGTGACAGCGCGATCGGCGGACCGAATCGCCCACAGCCGCGCAACCGTCCGCTCCTGTGCAGTCCTCCTCTGCGCGCACTCCGCGCCGTCCCGCAATGCCATCCCGCGCCCGAGCAAGCGTGCTTGATCCAGAACCGACTTGAGCCAAACTGGCTACGGAAAAATGGAGAAAAGGATGAGGAGAAGGAGGAGGAGGAGGAGGAGGAGGAGTGAGGAGAGAATGAGGAGGACGGTGGGAAGGGGGGAGGAGGGAGGAGGCTGCGCAAGGGTTGACTTTGAGGCTCCATCCTGTTATTCCTCCTCCTCCTCATCATCAGCATCATCAGCATCAGCATCATCATCAGCATCCCCGCTCCTTCGGTCCTGGATGGAAGGGGAAAAGGGAAGTGGGAGCTGCATTGAGGGAAGGGGTTCAGGACAAGGAGGGAGCAAAGCACGACAAGAAGAGGGTGAACACTTACTGGCCAGAGAAGGAACTCTGGAGGGGGGAAACGGTGGAAGCGGGAGAGGAGCGATGGGAATGGGCAAGCTAGGCGCGCTAGCGCTAAATCTGGCATCCTACCTCTTCCACCCATCCATTCCCTCTGTATTGATTTTGTCGTTATCCGCAATCTGGAAAGGAGAGCTGTGTACGTTAGCGGAGGAGGATGAGGAGGAGGAGGAGGAGGAGGAGCAGAGAGAGGACGAGGAGGAGGAGGCGGAGGAGGAGGAGGAGCAGCGTAAACCCAAGAGTCATCAACGATATTGGAATATACCATCCCTCCAAGCTCCCTCTTCATAGGCCCCTACAACGGTTCATTTCCATTGAGGGAACTGCCTCTTTGGTAGGCAACCGTTTGAAGACCTTGGAGCATGCCAAAACGTTGTTGTCGGGATGTCCACACCAAGCATCAACCTGACTGCTGCGTCCTGACGATCTGGAATCGTGCGGGAACACTGTTTGGGGGACTTCAACACCGCGAATCAACATAACGGTTGCACCCGCATAATCCTGAACACTTCCAAAACACTATGTCTGGTACGATGATCATGGGAATCCGGGGGACTCTTGCACATGTTTAGGACGAATGTGCGCGGCGCTACGGCGAGAGCCGCATGTTAAAAAAGAGCCGCCCTCAATCCGCGAAACTCTTGCAAACTTTCAAAAAAAAAAAAACGAATGTGCGCGGCGCTAAGGCGAGAACCACATTTTGAAAACTACCCGCCCACAAGCCGTGAAACTCTTGAAATGTTATAAATCGAATGTGCGCGGCACTGAAGCGAGAGCCACATTTTGAAAGCCACCCCGCCCTCAATCTGTGAAACTCATGCAATTGTTTTAATCGAATGTGCGCGGCGCTAAAAACGAGAGCCACATTTTGAAAACGACCTGCACTCCATCTGTGA